GTGGGGGCTGGCGCCGGCGTAGCCTTTGGAGCAGGTGTAGAAGGCGGTTCAACAACAGATTCCGGCTTTGGCTTTGGCTTCATCTTCGTAATCAAAAACGATAGCTTTGCGCCAGTGCCATTGGGCAGCCATTCCATAAAGCTGTACGAGGGAAAGTAAAACTTGTCCTCGTTGCCATGGACAAAGCTGAAGACCAAGGGACGATACGTCGTTCTTGGGGGAGGGTTGTAGACGGGCACTTGAGGTGGTGGGTGGTACTGGGGCGGTTTGCTGTAATTATTAGGGTATGGCGGGTGAGGCTGGTAGAGCGGAGGAGGTTGCTGCTGCTGCTGCTGCTGCATGTGGACTTGCGAAGGACCCGGGGTATAAGACTTGGGCGTGTTAGGCTGGATAGGCTGGGGCATGGGCTGGACAGGCCGTGGGAGTGGAGGCGGAGCTGTTTGCTTTGGCGGAACGGGCGGTGGAGGCGGGGGCGCAGGCTTTGGGGCAGGCGGCGTGGGAGCCGGCTTGTGCATCTTTTCCTCCTTTTGGCGGGCAAGGATGGCCGTCAGCTCGTTGATGTGCGTCTGGAAAAACTCAAGCTGCTCCTTGCTGGCCTCGCCCGCCGCGACAATCTTCATGACAGCCTTCAACGCCGGGTCGGTACCAGCTCTAGCAGCGAGCATGTGGATGACGGGATCGGGGGCGGGAGAGGGCGCGGGGGGCGCTGGGGGTGGAGGTGCCACCTGGACGGGCTTGGGCGGCTGTGGCTGAGGCGGTCGTGGCGGAGGTTTCTGGTGGAGGGGCGGCGGGACATGGTGGTATTTTGGGTGCTGACTGTGGGAGTGCGGGTGGTGATGGGCGGGCCATGGGGCATAGGGCGACGGGGCAGGCGTCTTCTTGTGCATTGGCTTGGCCACCTCGCGCGGGCCATATAGTCTTATAGGCAGCGTATGCGGCTCGATGACCAGCTTCACCACGACGCGGTCGCCACCGACCTGAGGGAAGTTCTTGAGCAGCTCCTTCTGGCGCTGAGCCTTTGCACGGTCTTCATCAGTGCGGTCGGCCAGCTTCTTGGGCTGCGTGAAGTGCGAGTGGAAAGTACGAAAGTTTGCGCCCGACAGCCACACGGCCTTGGATCGCTCAAATGATGTTTCAAGCACGCCGCTCTGCTGGATCGTCTGCCATTCGCTGCATGGAAGATCGAGCGGCTGGGGCTCGGATAGGGTAGGGAGCGGTGCGCCGTCGACAATGCGTAGCGGAAGTGCCGGTTGTTTGGGGGGAGGAGGTGCTCCTTCAGTGACTGGCGGCGTCGACGATGATGCTGCTGCTGCTGCTGCTAATGCCGCTGATGCGCCTGGTGTTGATGATGGTGGCAACTGAGGCTGCTCCTTGACTCCGGCAGTCGTCCTCTTGCGCTTCTTCAGCGACGACGAGGACGAGGGCGAAGGCTTTACGGCCGGAGCAGCTTCTTCGCGAGCGCGTGCCCTGGTCGACCGTCGCGGCTCAGACATGGCGGGCGTATAGTAATGCTTGGGATGGGTGTCATGTGATGTTGGCACGCAGGTGGACACATGGCTAGGAGGGCGGTAGGGCGGGCATAGTCATGGTCAAGGCCGGCAGCGTCGTTGCGGTCGTCACAATGGTCGCAGTCGTGGCGGGCGTGTCGAATGCAACGCGAGACGTTGCAGGGCGGCGGGACTGCCAAGCGACCCCGGCTCCCTGCTGGGCCGGTCAATGCGGACTGCCTCATCTAGCCCTCTTCCTACTTCCCTCGCCTTGGCACCACCTGCATAAGGATGCGGAGGCCACTCTATCTGTTTCTTGTCCCTTCTGGACCTCGTGTTTCTAAATTTCTCGTCTTTTGGTCTGCATGACGGTTGCATTATGAAACCAGCTATGAGCGGGCTGATTACTCCCAGGACCCCTACATGCTTCTTATTCACCGAGTATCGCCTTTCATCGTAGTCCAGTGCGCTTGGGGCTCGCCATGGCAAATCAAAACCATTCAAAGCCCCCGCGGTATCCCCGGAGGATCGTGGCTACGAACAATCAGGTTTGGCCACTTTTTATGCTGCTCGTCTCCAATCCCACTATAAGGCGCCCGCCATAGTCTCTCTTGCGTGCCTCTCGTCTCTTTTGTACGGACCAGTCGTTACACCCTTCACCACCTCCCCTCCCATATCGCCCATCATGCGGATCGCTGCGCTGGTTCCCGTACTACTGACCTTCTCTTCCTCTGTCCTTGCCACCTGCTGGTTTCCAGATGGCCAGGAGTCTACCCTCGACACTGCTTGCAACCCGGATGCCATAGTCTCCTCTTGCTGCTTCGACCGTCAAGCATGTCTCTCCAACGGACTATGCGTTTCCGACCCCCATGACCCAGCAAAAGCTCGCACTCATCGAGGAACATGCACAGACCGAGGCTGGAAGAGCGGAAACTGTGTGCGTCAGTGTTTTGGTGAGTCGCGTGCCCTCATCCACACCCATATATCCCACATACTCACTGCCATACAGATAACATGCATGCTGGCGCGCCCGTCTACAGCTGCAACGTCACGGATGTCGACTCTTACTGCTGCTACGAGAACTGCAAGTGCGAGAATCCGTTCGAGGTCTTTTCCTTTGATGGAACGCCTGCAAACGTATCCACTATGACTGTTATCCTCGAGGCTTTCACCCGGACTCGCCTCCCAACCGCTACAGCGAAGCCTCAGAATCCCAGCAGCCTGCCAGCGACTTCCTTTGCTCTCCCTACTGGCTCTGCGAATAGCTCTGCGAATGGCTCTGCATCCGCTGCAGGAGCCTCATCTTCAACCTCAAGCCCGAATTACCTCGCGCTCGGCATTGGTCTGGGGCTCGGTCTGGGTCTAGGCATTCCTGTCATCTTCCTCATCGCCTTTTTCTTCTGGCGTCGCAGAAAGGCAGCAGCCAAGAAAGTGCATGAGAATTCACGGCAACCCCCAGAGTTGAGCAGTGACGAATACTGCCCTCCGGCACAGAAATACGCATACAACCTCAATGTGATGCCCAAGGCTCCGCAGTAAGAATGCCAACCTTTCACTGTCTCTGGGTATCTGGACTAACAACCCGTCCAGACCCGCACCTTCTCCCGAAATTTCGCCTTCAGAAAAGGACCTAGCTCAGATCCACGTGGCCGAGCTACCAGATGATCAGGTCCTTCTCCCCGGCTCATCACATGGCAAAGCGGGGAACGAGAAACAATTTTAAACGATACTTGTATAAATATTTAGACGAGAGAAAGTGTATCAATATTTAGTTTGCCTTTTGGACGCCATGTAAGGATAAGGATGATGAGAACAGTTAGATATACCCCTAAACCAGCCCGTTAATTTTACATTAAGTACACGAAAGAAAAGAACGAAGAAGTAGTAGTAAATAGCCCCATGAATCAAGAAAGAAAATCACCCCATGGCAAGTGTCACGCAGTATGGTAGAAACCGTCTCGAGTCTTGTCGTTCCCCACTTATTAAATGTCGCTAGATTAACTATGCCCGAAATACCCCCCGAACACTCGACTTTAGTCAGACTAGAAAGAGAAAGGTATAGAATAGCATTGGCCTCACGTAAGCACAGATGAACCAACGGTCTATGCTGGATTGAACGGAAAAACTAAAATCTATCTATTAGCAATCGATAGTTTTTTCTAGTACATACAGCATCGAACACACAAATCATTGGTGTTGAAGATGTACGCTGCCCTAGTCCCGCCTACGCATACATCTCCCCACTCATCCAAAAAAAACGGCCATTCACCTCACAAATATAAGTCTCACCACCACTACCACTCCAACTCCCCATGCCAACACATCCCCCAAGACACCCACCAGCACGTCCCCCTCCCCCAACCCCATCCATTCCCACTCTCCCACTAGCCCCCAACGCCCCAACCACCTCCGCATCCTCCCCCCACCAAACCCACTTAAGTAGGTACACTCGTACTCATGCCAATAGCGCCGCCAAGAAACCGTCCTAAGTACTACTTTACTATTTCCCATAATTCCCACCCATCACATCCCTACTATCCGTAATCCCTTGCCCCCCCCCCTACCTTCCTGCCTACCCCATGTAAATCTCTGTCGTTCAGCAAGTAGCCCTGTGCATCGGATCTAGAATGGGGGGAAGAGAGAAAACTCATGACTCACACCCGCTATGTGTGTAGTAGCACCCAAGGACCCAGTCTAACTGTACCGTCAGATTGATGGGGAGATACTAGATAGAATCTGTAATTGCTGGGCGGACTTTGAGAGATTCATTACGTACAAATTTTTTTAAATGGGAGGAGAAGGTCTGAGGGGTTTAGTGCTGATGGGGTACTTACGTGAACACTTGGGTTGCTCAAAGGGGGGGGGGGGAGATCCCTGTGTGGGATCATATAGGGAGATGATGGGGTCAGATATTGTCTTGGTGTATTTGAATGAGGTTCTTGGGGTGGTGTGTCTCGGGAACTCGGTTCCTAATTCCAAAACTGGAATAACTAGTAGTGAGTAATCTTGTCTGACTTCATGTTCACTCCAAGTGTTAGAATCTGGTGAAAAGGGATAGTATGTGCATCACTATTGAGCAAAAAGGAAGATATGATAGAATCAACATTTGAATTTCGAGTTTCCCACGGCTATGAGCCGAGGGTTTGTTATATACACCGACGTCTCCCCCATTTTCTTATGTTCAAACGCCCGATATGTGTGTATCTCCCTTCGTGTCTTCCAAAGACCACGATTGTTGTTTCCCTTCCATGTGTTTCGAACTCCGGTAAAATGCGCAACAAACAACGACGACTACCTCAGCAGCAGCAGCTTCAAGTTCTTTCGAACTCATCCAGAAGAAAAGAAAAGAAAGAAAAGAAAGAATGGCGGGCTAGGCGTTATCCACCACCCAAAAAGAAGGAGAAAGAAGAAAAGAATCGGTCCCAGACCTTTTGTCGAAAGAAGAGAAAAGTGGAAAAGGAGTGTAAGAACGTATGTGTTAGCAACCACAACTCATCAAGTGAATGTAGAAACCTAGTAGTGACCAACCCGACGGCTCATCAAGTGCGAGCGTACAATACGTCCATTGTAGCCCCTCTTGGTGATGCTGCCATTAGCACAGGTAGTACCAGCCGCAACCTCCTGCCAGACAAGCTTGCCATTGTTGCAAATACCAAACTGAGTAGCGCCGTTGCACACGATGGTACCGTTTTCGGAGCAGGCGGATGAGCCGCCGCCAGGGGTGGAGGGAGCACCTGAGCCACCACCAGGAGTAGAAGGAGTGGTGGGGGTAGCGGGAGAACCGGTGCCTGCAGAAGGAGTAGGGCGGACAGGGGGAGTGGGGGTTGCGGTGACGGTGACGAGGGTGGTGGAGGTTGAGGGGCGAGCTGGGGCGGTAGGACCGGCGGGAGAGCCGCTAGAGGCTCCGGGGGCGAAGACACCGCCACCGTTGGGAGGGAGGGGTGCGGCGGAGGGCTTGCTGCCAGATGGAGGTGATGGGGCGGCACCAGATGGGGGAGTTGGGGCAACAGTGGGCTGGCCTCCAACTGCAGAGGTGGGAGCGACAGAAGGCTGGCCAGCAACGGGAGGAGAGGGAGCAGAGGGAGCGCCACCAGCAGGAGCAGAGGGAGCGGAGGAGGGCGCTCCACCAGCAGGGGAAGAGGGCTGAGAAGGATCAGAGGGGGTAGTACCAGTAGATCCACAGTCACCAGTAGGATCGAGAATATCAGCCGCGTCTCCACCCGTTTCGAGGACAGATCCAGGGTTGGGGAACTTCAGAACTTTGCTGACCTCCTGCTTGCAGGTGGTGGCTCCAGCGAGGTTGGCAACAAGCATGTCAGGAAGTGCGTCAAACTTGGACTTGTCGCTAGCACCACCAGTGACCTCGATAGGTGCACAGTTCATGTACATCTCTGGGCCACCGCTGAGCTTCGCAAACCAAGTCCAGGCGAATGTAGCCTTGCCGTTGGGGATGCTGTCAGGAAGTTGGAACTTGAACGTCTCAGCCTCTGAGATACCTGGGCATCCACCTTCGATGGACTTGATAACCTTGAAAACTGAGTCCTTTGTTGGCTCGGTATCCATTGTTACGCTGAGCTGGCATGAGCCTCCTCCATGAACAGCACTTCCTGTAAAGCTAAGCTCCTGCTCCTCTCCTACAGCCATCTGGTTCATCTCAGAGACAGTGAAGCCAATGTTGGACTTGCAAGGAAACTGGGAAGCAGAAATCGGTGAGTTGTCGAGCTTGTCAACACTGAATGGTACAGGGTGCTTCATGATCATGTGTGAGTTGACGGCGGCAATCATGGTTGCCGCAGCCATAATGGTAGATCGGAGAGACATGGTGTTGGTGGGAGAAATGATATCGTACAACGATAGTAAAATGCTGAAAGTTTTGAAGAGAGAGTGATTGATCTAGTCCAGCTAGTCGTGCAAAGAAATGCTGCAAAGCAAAGAGTGTGGAGGCTGCTGAGAGAGCGTGTGTTGTGATGAGGACATGTCGTACATGCGCTTATAGTCATTTATACAGATGGCACTGCCTATACAGTGTGGGCACTATAGCCATCATGTGTTGCCACTGTGACCTCCACAATTACGTCCTCTGAGATGCCCCCTAATCAAACCTCGCCTCTGATAGCCAACAGTGTAGAGTCAAAACGAAGCGCATGGCACGTCCTTGCTCCACACCGGCGAGCGCCTACGGGATGAAACGAGCTGTCCAGGTACGCTGTGGCTTTCAACCAAGGAGAACAGCTGGTTACGGCAATCTTGCCGCGGGGATGTTATGCGTTGAGCTAATCGGGGAAGGCGACGATTGCGTACACGTGAAGATCAACATGCCACGATGTAGGGCCTTAGGCGAGGTTTCGTTTCGATGGTGCCTCTGGTCGATCATTGGTTGGGGCGGATTCGCTTAGCAAGCCAGCAAGCAAGCCAGGCCCCTTGGTGTTTTATGCTACGTCGCACTTCCGGCCTTACAATCCCTGCATTGCGTGGCCGATTGGTGAGCCATCGCTGTTTTTTCTCAGCCGCCAACTATACGCATCCACTATCAGGTCCACTGCGCCTGCTAACAAAGCTTGGTTCTTCTTCACAAGGCTGCACCCCGACCTGTCACATCTTTGCCCATATGCCATACAACACTGGCTGCAGCGGAGCGCCAACGTGCAGATCATGATCTTGATAGGATGTGGCTGCGGGGATGCAACATGGCTTTTGGTAGTCGGTGGGCAGTAATAATGGCATTGTTTCATGTAACGTCGAGCTGGCCTATGGGCTAGACCAGCGAACTAGGACTTCATCCGCTATTGGAAAGATGACGAGTCCTGGTGTTTCGAAGCGTATATTGCGTATCGCTCCCCGTACGGCATTTCCAAAAAAATCTTGTCGCGGTAGTATTAATGCGGTGGCGTCAATGCGACTACGCCACAATGGATCGGGTGTGGCGCAGGACTTGTTAAGTCATGCGCTGTTGAGCTTGCAAGACCCTTACTAGTAGTAGAGGCGTCCTCGTTCCAACTTCCGAATCGGCACACCAGCGGCAAGGGCAATATGGCCGACTTCCTCGTCTCCGCGTACGTCGGCAATGTATACGTCAACATCTTTAAGGAGCCTTGCTCTCTCCATTGCATCCAACGTGGTGCCTCCATCAGGTACCTTGATCCAGGGGTTTTCGTATGTCATACTGGTGACAAAGCCAAACATTTCGGGTCCTAGTGTTTTATATTTTAGAACTAATGCCGCGACGCCTGTCAGGAGAGTAACTGATGAGGCGACAAGCAAAAGTACAAGCCAAGCAAATTCGCAGACGAAAACCTCTTCGGTGGCAGTGATAGTAGCTGTTGTTGTAGCCCCGATAAATGGAGACCTGATATCCTGGAGTCCTATCTCGAATTGGCCATACCAGTCGGTGAAGGTATGGTCAGTGGCCGACAAGTTCTTCGGTAGGTATGCATTTATATCCGTGGCTGGATCGGTATCCGGGCCATATAACGACAAGTTCTTTGGCAAATTACCAAAGTAACCCGTTGGCTGTATGCTCAACTGATAGAAAGTGTTCATGGCCAAGCTAAGTCGTTTGGAGAACACCTCAGACGGTACAAGTGATAAGTCAGTCAGAGCAACGTCCATTGACAAGTGTCCGACTTGTTGTACAAAGGGAAATGCAGATGTGTTTGCTAAGAAGAACTCCGTGGGACTAGAGCCAGATGAAAACTTCACTGCCCTTGGAAACTGCTTTGCAAACCAGAACATGATGGTACCATGTTCGAAGCCAGTGAGTGATGTGGGGCGATTATCTTTCAAGGACTTGCGCACCTTTTCAGTGGAGCAAGTGCTGCCTTTGCATTGGATAGCAGCTTCGATGTGATTTTGTGATAGGGAACATTTTGCGATGTTCAGGCCTAGGCGTCCCTGGCTATTTGTTGAATACTCCGAGACGAACAGCAACTCTCGTTTGGTCGTAAGCTCTGCCTCAGGCATCAATGAACTGTTGAAGTTGCCGAAAAAGCCGTCCAACCGGCCCATATAGAGGTCGCGATCATCGCCCTCCTTAATACCCCAGGGAAAACTACGAGTTGTATCCATGAAGAACGATGTCCGTCCACTTGTCTCATCACCGAGAGGGGGGTCCTCATCTTTTTCATACCATACCTGGCCAGGCACTAGCTCTTCGAGGCGAGTGGCGTTTACATCGTACCAATAATTGGAGCCATTATTTCCGGGGAAGGACTCTTGAGTAAATGGTTGACAATCCACTGAGAGATAGGTGTATTCCAGGCTGAAATTGGATTTTTCGTTGGAAGGGAGCCCAACTACGGGTAGTCCGACCAATGACGAGTAAGCCTCGGGTGCTGAAATGTCAGTTGGCACAGCGACCCAGCCATCAGCATCCGCAAGTGATGAGTTAAGTCCCTCTAACGTCGGGATCTTGACATTATTCCAAGGGTCATGTGTACCTAACTTCGTAGATAAAGGTGCTAGTAATGCAGCAGTATAGAGAGCTCCGGCATCAGCCCATTTGCCACTGCCAACATATGTCGAAGACAAGCCCCACATACTTGCTGCTGGACCGGTAGTCATGTATCGAAGCTTCGCGTTTGAAAATGAATCCTTTGTGTCTCTTGTCATGAGTCGGAGGGAAGCTTGACCTCCAAGAGGGGATAGGGCCCACAGGAAAAGGAGGTTTATACCGACCATCGTCATCCTCTGCATGAGTAGTTGGCTTTCGAACGTGCCCCACACAGACTGGCTTGCGACGAGGAGCTCCAATGTCTTAGCTGATTTTAGCCGAAAGATTCAAGGACCTGTACGTAATCACGTCGAAGAAGCGCACTTACGCTAATTTTCGTGCCCTTTTCTGCAAGATATCGTGCGATCATCTTCATACTCCGCCCGACTATCGCGGCAAACAAAATGGGGAACAATGTTGGACCCTTGAAAGGTCAGTAAAGCCCTCGTAAAATGCTGGTCAGCGTAGTTTACAAGATCCATAGCTGCCTCTACTTTTGATCCAAAAGCAGAGCCGGCGGTTGGCTTTCCATTTAGTATGATAACAGCCACACCGAGGACTATACTGGTCAGATGAATGATTTGGTATCCAACTGGAAACATACGTATAAAGTATATTGGCAGTAGCACCAGTATCACATCGCCGAGTGAGTAAAGGCGAGTAAGCCAAGTGTGAGCTTTAAGCGGCTTAGCCTCTTCAGGCCAACTTTCAATCTTCTGTAAGGTCGTGTTCCATGTTTTCGATTTTGGTGGTGCCAGGGGTGGCTGTGTCGAATGCGTCTCTTCTACTATAGAATTCAAGACACGATGTCGGAATGGGTTCCATCGGGAATTGGCAGTCGTACTCATGATTGCTGATGCGCTTCGTCACGCGGCGCTGCAAGGCCACGAAGACGTATAGGCAGATGCGGCTGATGGTTCGCGGGCAGCGGACATGTCTCTTTTGGATGGCATCTTTGCGGCACAGCAATAGCGAATCCCCAGCACGGCGCTAACAGAGTGTGCCTTGAGCAGGAGCGCGCTTCTGAAGGTATGCTGTGCTGGGATGCTCCCAGCGAATCATTTGATGTGATGAAACTCGAAGCGCCCGGTGGACCCCAGTTGATTTCCGGGTACCTGCGCTCGGCGGAAGACGGGCGATAACGAGATGGCTTGCATACGTAACGGATGCTGTGTAATGTCTAGCATTCGTCCTGGAATGCGGCGAAGCTTCGGGCACAAGAGCTTAATAGAGCAAGTGATGTAGTCACGATGATGTGCAGCGAGGCGTGAGACGCGTGCCAAGTCCAAGTGCGCAGTGGCGTCACCTGATGCTTGCTCGGTTTCTAACAGGAGCACGACCTCCTTCCTCCTAATAATTACCTTTACGGTACGGAACGGGACGATGTCACAGACTTGCAGTTCGACAGCCGCCCTGGCTAGGCCTATTATGATGTGCTGCTGTCGATCAAACTGCCCTGCGAGGCTGTCTGCTTAGACTCAACAGACCCCCACCGAATCAAGCGCAAGCACGATGCAAGCAGCACACTTTCACAGGAGGACCAGCGGTACATCGCACTCTCACTTAGCGAGAAGGATTTATTGAGAGAACTTTGACATTTTAGTCATCGTCTATGCTATTGTTGTCTTAGAACATGTCACGCATGCGCCGTCGAGCATGTGGCGCGGACTATTCGGGCCTCATCAACAGAAGGCTCACTCAGCGCACCCAAATCCCCACACGAAGCAGTCGTTGAAAGTATTCTGGGCTACAAGTGAAATCGGTGGGTTGTGAGACCCTTATGACTATTTCAGCACCGCTCCTCATGGTCTTGTTCAGTACTCGTGCAGTGGTCAGTACGAGCCACACCAGTCATGTTTCAGACGCCACGTGAAGAGGCGCAAGCATGCGACTACCAAGACCAGGTCCGAAAGGTACCCATGATACATGGAATCTGAATCCATGCCTTTCACCTGAGGCCATAGTTGCTGTATGATCCGGTGTGGAAATAGTTGCCTGGTGGTTCGGCTGTTATCAGGCGCAAGATGTAGTAGTTCATTTGATGTCTGCATTCTCCTTTTGCATCACACAACTCACGAATTTTGCATACTTTTTTTCCTCATCGAAATGAAGCCAGAAACAGAAGAAGCGGTTCAAGCGGTAGGTTCCCGTTCCAAAACTAGCGCTTTGGCGGCGGCACCTGTTTCGCATATTGATTATGGCAAAGTACTGACCGAGTTTATCCAGGCCAAAGGCCTATTAACAGAACTGGTAATCGTCGCATCGCTGGTGCGAGCTTTGACTGATACTTTTGGATCAGCGAGCGATTTGTATCAAAAGCTGAAGCGCAAATCTAGTCCCAGAGACAGCGACGATGAAGACAGATTCCACATCAGCATGTTTGGACGCAGACGCCGCGACTCTGGATTCGGCATGTCGGGCAGCAGCAAGGATCTTTGTGAAAGCGAAGGAGAGCTCATTTTTACCTCTTCCGCTCAAATACGAGCCGAATATGACCGTGGATATCGGAAGATTGGAGAGTCTTTCGCTCGCGGGGATGGTAAGTCCTCATTTTGACTCAACGGGCTATATACTGACTAGACGAAGCTACGGCGCAGATCCAACTTCAATCACAAATTATACAGCTTCAGAAGGTTTGTCTGGTTATACACCAAGACCTGTCAATGAGCTCGTACATCGCGCCCTCATCTACCCACTCGCACCTGGTGCGTCTGATCCAGACCACACGGACAGCCCGTGCAGCCTCGATGGCGGCACTGAGCATGCAGTATCAGCGTATGCTGCCCACACCCTCACCCTCCCCAAGGCAGCCAGATCCGCCATTCAGTCCTCCTTATAGTCCGCCTTGCAGTCCGCCTGGGGCTTTTCCGGACCCCGAGGATACCTGGCACACGACGAAGCCATTCAAGCCAAGGCGGCGTACGGGTGACAGCTCAAGCTCGTCGACTTCTTCAGAAGACAAGGAATTCAAAATACTCCCAGTCCCCAACCCGATTTCCAAACCGAAGCCAGTACCGAAACCAGAACCGAAGCCAGCACCAAAACCCGAGCCAGATCTGAAGCCGAAACCAAAACCCGACGACAAGCCAACAACGAAGACCAGGCTATTCTGCATCTACGCAAAAGAGCTCCAAGACAACCCCCTGATGCCGCTGGCTGACGCCTACAAGCCATGCGGTGACAACAAGTGCCCATTCTGCCGCACATATCTAGCCATGCGGACCGGCAAAATCTGGGAAATCGTCGTCGACGACTGCCGCGAATCCAGACACCTCCGCCGCAAACCCCTCTACCGCGTCTTCCGCATCAAAAACCGCTTCATCGTAAAGTCGCACCGCGAACAAGGCGGTTTTGCATGCGTCCTCTGCGCCCGATTCCGGCGCTTCGACATGTTATGCCGCGACATCGGATCGCTCATGGATCACCTGTGGCGCGAACACACGGCCGACGAACTCGAGTGGGACTGCGACATTCTAGAATGCTGAACAACACACACACTCTCCTATTCCTTTTTTTCCTTTGACTTCGGCGTTGTTGATGATACCCCCCCTTAACGATCTCTCACACTCACGACCTTGCTACGCTCACGATTTCCTTATTGTTTTGTTCGAGTTTACCATACACGTTACTTCTCCATAGCAAATTAATCTTACACCATGTCATCGTTCTCCTTTTAGAAAACAGACACAACTTCCATCTGACCCCTTTTTACCCCCGTGATATCCAACACCCCCCTCTTCACACTCTTTGCATCGCACATCTTCACGGTGGAGAAATACCACATATGCGCATTGACATCCATAGCCAACCACTTCCCATTCCCACGAAAGCTAACTGCTCCCTCGTACACTTGGACGTCGCTTGCGGATACATCCTTGCCGTTCGGCTTATCGATGTAGTACTCCGGGCTCGTGTGTACGTATCCCATCGTCAACAACGGGAGTTTGGGCATGGGGTCGTTCCAGTGCGTGATGCGGTAGTTGCCACCTGCCTGCTTGGAGATGTAGTCGCTGATCTTGCTGCCACCTACACGCGGCGAGCCGTAGGTGTATAGTGCGACTGTACGGCCTGCGTTGCGCATGCTGGCTGCGGCGAGGGTGGCGATGGCGCCGCCGAGGGAGTGCCCCGTTACGCGGATCTCGTAAGAGGGGTTTGCGGTCGCGGCTTGCGATACGGCAGGTAGCACGCGGTCGCGGGCGTCGAGCCAGGAGCGCCAGAAGCCGCGGTGGGCGGAGCAGGAGGAGCAAATGTCGGTTTTGGTCATGCCGAGATCGAGGTTTGTGAGCCAGTTGTCTGGGGTTTTGCTGCCGCGAAAAGAGACAATGATGAGTTTGTTGGTGTGGTCTGCGGCGATGTAGCCGGTAACGTCTGTTGATGTTTCATCTCTGGTGGATTTGTTAGTTTTTTATTTTACTTTTCCAGGTCGTTGAGGGCAAGTGTAGTCGACTTACTCGCTGTATTCGGCTATAGTATTTGAATCTGCGGCTTGAACTAATGGGCACTTTCCGTTCACGCAGCTGACCTTGTTACCAGGTGAATTGTAGTTATCGGAGCAGTACGCTGCTGAAGCGTATTGGCTCATCAAACCCATGTCACTGATGAGCTCATCGGTAACAGCCACTACTTCTTGTTAGAATGCGATTGGTAAAAACTTTAGAACTCATGGGGGGGCGACATGCCTCTCTTCTCCATAGCCAGTGGCGAAGCATTGCCCGTGAGAGCGCTTAGAAGCGCAGCGATAGCGAGTGACGCGAACGAACGCATGTTGTTGTAATGAAAACCAATGAATGAACAAAAATGAACGACTATAGAACTGTAGCAAAACGGGTATCAACTCTCAGGGTGACTCGCGAAGGGAGCCGTACGGCATATAAAACATGCACATTTGCTTTCCCACGGATTCATGGTGGGCGTCCCAAAGAAACAGGACGCCATCGCAACGAGATAACGCCAGCTCCCTTGTCAAATGCGGTCCTTTCAACTACCCGCCGACCCGTTCCTTTTGCGGGCCTCTGCAGATGTGAATCAAGACAGAGTCATTGGAGTATTGATTTGTCACGAGGCTTTGCTTCACCTTGTGTGTGTCTAATTCCGGAGCGACTTCTGGAGCGTGATTGGCTACACGCTAGAACTTGCCATATTGCTAGTCCGGATTATTGGCGCGTGCCCAGCGCTTAGGGCTGAGTCTTGGCTATTGAAGGCGTGCAGCTAATCACTTGAGGGAAATGCAGCAAGGACAGCTTGTTTGATTTACATTGAGCTCATGCTGTTCGGCCCATGGTTTGGGGTAAGGTAGTAGTTGAACGAGTATGTGAAAGCCGAAACTTTATTCTCTACTAAGAGCGTGTGCTTAGTACAACAACTCTAACTTATCGATAAAGAAAATATTCTTCTACGCACGGACGGAAAACCACGATTTACTCCCCTTTTTTGCATATTCTGTAAACTTTGCAAAAGTAAAGTGTTAGAATACATGAGCGAGATCAATGGTGAGTTCTGTGCAGATTTCCCGCCGCGAAGATCTGCGAATGCGGAGATTATTTCTTTCAGTATAATCACCGTATTCCCGTAAGTAATATGGAGATGGAGATACTAAGGCTTTACGTTGACTTGGCACATTACTTCGCCCCGACCTCAAAACAAATCGTTACGGCATTTACCTGTAGTCTAACCATATTCTGCTGTTTCAGGTCTGTTCAACATACGTCAAAAGGCCCTAGAGTACAGGAACGAACATGATGTTTGCCCAAGGCCCCGAGGCTGAGGCGTTTGAGAGCTTCGTAATGAACTCGCGATAACAATCAAGCCTCTGTAGAGTATCAAAACTCTTCAGCGGTCTTAACTCCAAACAAACTTATTTCTGGAAATGCAGTTTGGTTCGCACTTTGACCTACATCTTGTTGAAAACAGTCGTGTCCTAGACAAGGAGCAATCCTTACTTTAGTGGGTGCCGCACCATTCCACGCCCCGCGGCTCCCGCTTATTTCCTCGACGATAATTTGAATGACCATGTTTTTAGTCGCGCACGTAATTTTCGAAATTCTTGCTTCTTCCTTTCGAAGCAAGAATAAAATTCCTTCGTAGGTAAGACGAATTCAATGCGCATTGCAGTTTTCGCAGGGCCGTTATATTGAGTTGTCAAGTCTGAAGGATAAGCTTAAACTTAATATCCATGTTGTAGTGTAGCGAAACAGCTATTACCCTATAACTTGGCGCAGCTGGGTCTAATTCCCTAATGAGAACAGAAAGTGAAGACGAATATTAGAAAGTCTGGGTGCTAATTCAACTCTCAGATAGAGATGCCATACTGGTCGATGAGAGTTTTGAAGGTCGGAAGGTCACGTTACCTTCCTTCCTCCCATCACAAGGAATCATCGCAATGGGATGCTGACTAATAATTCCGGTCTTTTCTTTGTGCAAATACTGTTTGAACAGATGTCAAGTCACACGTGAAAGGGTCCAAGGGTCCAAGGGTAAACCTGAGCTTCCGGAGTACGTGTACAGTCTGGACATCCAGGGAAAATCCGAGAAGCAGCATTTACCAGCGATGCTACTGGATGTAGCATATTAACAACCATTAGTTTTGAGATGACAGAAGCGTTCAACTAAACTCGCACACGTCGAGATTGCTCATGAGAATTGGGGTTCTAGGCCACAAAAATGGTCGCGGGGCTGAATCTTGCCATGTGGATCTCCAGGGGCGCGGCGCTAAACCCTTCAGTCACCGCTTGGTATCTCCTTAGCGCCACATCCTCGCACCTCAATACAACTACAACCCTATCAGAAACCTGAACCCCAGCCTTTTCATTGTCACGAAGTTGATGGTTCGCTTATTGTACCCCAAAGTTCCTAGTAGTTTTTAATTGCGAGTCCGGCGAGCTTTCCATCGCTGTTGGGACCATCGGGCCACCTGGACATACCCTACTGCCAGCGATATCTTTGCATCGCCTGCAGAATGGGCAAATTAGCTTATCCTCTGGACCCCAAACTCACTGGCCAGGATCGTATTGTGCTGAATCTTCTGCAAAAAGAATATGAGCTGCACGGAGACCCTGCATGCGGATCGTCGACAGATGCAGGGGATGATTCTGACGACTCGGTTATCAAACATTCCAAGACCGTAACCCCATCACCAGAAGGTGCGTTTCTCCATTGTTGCAAAACAGTTCCTCGTCTTTCCTCATTCATGGGGTTGTGCGACTAACCTTTGCAGACCTCCAAGACCAGCAACAACAAGCAATTGCTTATTTCAAAAAGCTCAATGATCCAAAGTCTGACAGTTTTGAGCCCACGGTATTCTGTACGTTTGATGAGCCAGACATCAAGAATCCCCTTCTTCGCAAATGGATTATTGATCCCTACATTCGCTGGGCCAAGAAGGTAGTCCGTGTAGAGACAGATGTTGTAATGGTTACACATCTGCTTCTTTACTTTTGCACCAGCGTCCCATCAGCTATTTACCTATATGTCAACTTTCATTGGTGGCATGCTGTACTCCACTGCGTCATGCAAGGCACGTATATGGGACCATTCACTCTCCTGAAGCACCAACATATCCACATGCGGGGTGTACTCAGTCCCAAGTACAGCCTGTTTGATCGGATCTTTCCATACATTTTGGATCCGCTGATGGGCCATACCTGGAACTCGTACTACTATCATCACGTCAAGCATCACCACGTGGAAGGCAATGGCCCTAATGACCTTTCTTCGACTATCCGATATCAGCGAGACAGCCTCTGGGACTTCATGCAATATGTCGGCCGCTTCTATTTCCTTATTTGGTTCGAACTGCCCATGTACTTTATCCGCACACGCAAGCCCAACCTTGCACTTCAAGCAGGTGTGTGCGAATGGGGTAACTACATCTTCCTGTACCTCATGTACAACTACGTCAACGCCCGCTCAACAATCTTTGTCTTCTTGATCCCTCTCAACTTTATGCGGATAGCTCTTATGACGGGCAATTGGGGCCAGCACGCCTTTGTCGACGAAACCGAACCGGACTCGGACTTCCGGTCAAGTATAACGCTCATCGACTCAGTAGTAAGTTTAAGATGCACATAGCCAATCCACATATCAGCCTAACCTTTCAAAAGAGCAACAGAGACTGCTACAATGATGGCTACCACACCTCTCACCACCTCAACCCCCTCCGCCATTGGCGCGATCACCCCGTCGCTTTCCTCTCGCAGAAAAAGCAGTACGCCGACGAAGACGCCATTGTATTCTACAACATCGACTACTTCTTCCTCACAATCAATCTCCTGAGAAAGAACTACGAGCACATCGCCAAGTGCCTGGTCCCCATCGGCGATCAAATGAACCTCACGCTCGACGAGAAGATCGCAATGCTAAAGCGCAAGACGAGACGCTTCACAGAAGAAGAAATTGCAGAGAAGTGGGGGAAGCAATTTGCAAAGTCAAAGTAGAGTGCGAGCTTGAGAACTTGGATACATATGTAGCTGTCTGAATATAGAGCTTGATATGCCACCTTAACCCCTGTCGCTATATCGCAGGTCTCGATATGCGACGCTATTCCCTAACACTGTCCGTGAGTAGCGACGGGAACTTTGCAGTCCAATAGTATCCTAGCAAAACTATATATTTCGGTGATCATTAAAGTTTGTGAAAAGCTTGGTTTCCGCTATTCTCACGATAGTACCCGAGGTCCTTAGCCCCACCAAAAACATCTTACATGCAACTCATTAGATGTCCGGAGCACTCGTCCAACAACAGAATATCGCACACGACGTGGTAATCTAAGATCAGTAAAAAGAAACATATCTTGCGTATGCATAACTTTTCAGAACATATGTATTGGCACTTCTATGCTAATCCTCATCTAAACCCAATATATAGTGTCCCATGCCCATATCCCCAGCCTTCATCCCTCAAATCCCCACCCAATCCATCCACGACTCCAAAAATCGCAACTGGCCCTGTCTCATATGTTCCGAAAACTCCTCCAGATTGATCAGCCCACCACCCTTGCGCCGATTGATTTCCTGATCCACGCTTTCCAAACTAGCTAGCATGATCAGGTGCAAGGGGGATTGAGGGTCCATAGCTACCCGGCGAATGGCGCGCTGCAGAGGCTTGGCCTGGTTTGTCTCGGGGTGGTAAGGGTCTGTGGAGTGGCTGATTTGGTTGCAGCCGCATTGCACGAGATCTGTGCCTTCTAGGTTTTGGATGAAGAGGAAGTGGCGCTCGGGGACGTCGGAGTACCAATTTAACTGCACGGTGTCTGGAGTTGGGCCTCCAGGCTCGGCGGGGCATGAGAGGGGCATTAGCTCGAGGATCCGTTCGCTGACGTCGGCTGCTGCGGCAACTGTGGAGGGAGAACCGGATTCTGGGCCTGACGTCGAATCTGTGGATCGTTTTCTTCCAGGGTATCGTTTTAAACCGTCGTGGGCTGCGCATACGAAGAAACACCGACCGGGGCCTGCGTCTTCGTTGGTTGATACTGATGACTCGTCAGTGTCAGAAGCTGCACCGGTCTCTGAAGAGCTGCATGAGCCACTCTGCGAATTGGTTGGTAGATGTGTAAGAGAGTTCGGTCGGAACTGGGGCATGGTAGGATCTCTTTGG